CAAGTAGTTAATATGGTTGGCTTTATTAATTATATTTTTTTAATTTTTTCATGGTATTAATAAAATACTTGGTAAATAAATATATAGCATTATTTTGTATTATAACTTTGATATTTAATTAGAAAAATAGTGCACAAAAAAGATAATAGATAATGTAGTGAATATAATCAATTGATGAATTTGAATGTAAAAATTTTTACATTTGAAAAAAATAAAGACAATATAACTAATGAAAATATTTCTTTTAATTAATTTATTGATAATTAATAATTTTTTTTCACTGAATAAAGACATTGTAAGGACAATGTAGTGAATATAATCAATTAATAAATTTGAATATAAAGAATTTTTATATTGAAGAAAAATAAAGACAATATAACTAATAAAATTATTTCTCTTATTTAATTTATTGATAATGAATATTTTTTTTTTGAATAAAGGCATTGTGGACACATAATTCTAAATTAAAGAAATGCATATGTATTATTTTTTGTTGTAACTATTAAATTATTATTTATATATAATTTAATAAGAGTAAAATAGAGTACTAATTATGCCAACTTTGATTGGGATGAGGTTCGAACCTAAGACTTTTTTTTTTTATTTTATTGAAATCAATGAGTAAGTTAACGGTGAACTAACGGCAATTCTTAAAATTTTAACGGAATTAGTAACGTTGTGTGGGTATTTTAGGAAATTTTAGTGTAAAATTTAAATCTGATCAATCTTTTAATCAATCTGAGCCATTCATTTGATTAAAATCTATGACCGCCATTTTTTCTACCCATTATAGGCCTAACTCTCTTGGGCTCTTATTAGTATAGTAGATAGTAGATTTGATTTGTTATTGATACTGCTAATTACACGTAAGCAATATATAACAACACGAGACCAATTAAAGCAAGTAAATATCTTTATTGATCACGGTAAGACCCTAAGTACAATCTACTTGGTTGCCCTGAGTACCGACTGACTGCGGTCGGGATTCTCTAACAACAACCTATCGATCGTCCAAAAGTCCTCCACACTGTAGCTACTGTGGGCATTTATAGCCGCTGTGCCGGGGACAAGATTCCGGCTGCTCGGCATGTCTTCCACGTAACCACCACGTGTCATCTCCCCGGGTGCCCTGTCTGTCGCCATGAAGAGCCGCCACGCGTCCTTTCGCGTCCTTGTGCCAGCTCTTTCGTCGAAGGGCTACCGCTCGGTGGTCGACACCAGCGTTCGGGCAACTTCCGGCCGTTCCCGACCGGGATCTCTATGAAAAAAGCCCGACCTGCTACCTGCAAGGATCAAAAGAGAAAGACAAAGGCAAGTCGGTCGTGGCGGAGCTTATGTCGGTCGGGATACTCCCTACCAGTTATGTTTAATAGTACTTTAGTGTAGTTTCTAAATATATAAATTTTGTATAATAATACTAAACTTAATATTATGAAAAATTAGATTAAAAATAACTTCAGTTAAGCCTCGTTAACCCAACCAGACACATAAAATGGGACGGAGGGAGTAATATTTATTATATTTGTATAAGGTTCATGAGTAATACCTCTTGTTCTATTTTCATAACTTGTTTACTTGATAGTAACAACAATAACTCTACAGGTTGTTCAAATATTGATGCTGCAACATGTCCAGTTTCATCAATAATTTCCACATCCATTTTGCACATGTTCATTTTCAAGTCCATATTTTTAGAATGAGTAGGAATGAGTGTAGTACTTGATTGTGTGTGTGTGCGTGTTTTTTTTTTTTTTTTTAATTATTGAATTGATATTAACCTTCAAGTTAAATTGTTTTTCACTTTGTGCATACTTTTTTCTTTGTGCATAAACATTTTTTAAATAGTGACTACATCCTATATACCAAGTATTTTTATTGTGAAGGTTGATGTTGATTTTGCATGTAATCTAAGCAGGTTGAATATAGAAGATGAAATGAATTGTAAATTTATATTATTTCCAATATATTTAATGAATGCACAATAAGTATTTTACATACAGGATAAATGAATGAATCAATGGTGGCTATTTTAAATTTTTTTCATTTTCTAGGTTTGCCAAATTGATTGCAGCATTGTTGTAGTCTCGCATCTTTTCAATGCATCAAGTGTGTTACGATTGCCCTACATTGACAACTTTATTACTGAGGTTTAAATGTAACTACGTAAGATAATGATATAATTAACATTTACATATTATTATCAACATAAAAACATACTAGTCCTTTAGATGTTCTGCTCGGGGTTCATTTAGTTCAACCATTATTGTTGAATGAGTTATTGTGGACAAAGAAATCCATAGTTTAAGGAATATGATTAGATAAAATATTAAAAATTTGAACATTTTAAATATGATATAGTCCAAAGATATTACAAGGTAGCTTTCTACTTCAATTTATTGGGTTATTTGAATACTCTCTTTGTCAATAGATCTCCCAAGTAGTTAATATGATTGGCTTCAATCTATTATTTTTTTTTTCATGGTATTAATAAAATACTTGGTAAATAGATATATAACATTACTTTGTATTATAACTTTGATATTTAATTATAAGATAGTGTAAAAAGAAGATAATGAACAATGTAATGAATATCAATTGATGAATTTGAATATAAAGAATCTTTGCATTGGAGAAAATAAAGACAATATAACTAATGAAATTATTTCCCTTATTTAATTTATTGATAATCAATATTTTTTTAAAATAAAGGCATTGTAGACACATAATTCTAAATTAAAGAAAAGCATATGTATCATTTTTTTGTTGTAGCTACTGATGGATTTAATTAATCCGGGGTGGCCCGAATTATTAAACCCGGATAAGAACGTACTATAGAAATATATAAACGGGACGAAACGATGTCGTAAGGTCGCAAGGACCATAGGTCGTGAGGACCGTATATTATACTAAATGCCGTGAATAGGCTATTACAATGATTCGCTATTACAAAGTATGTAAGTAGGATAGATCGTAGATAGCATGCCCCTTGTTAGGACAAGGAGGGGGGTTTTGTTACAAGCCAAGTCCCCAACTGCCTCCCCCTAAAACAGGGGGTTAGTTGGATCTGGAGTTGACCGCACCCGGTCTTGCGACAGGGCAGCGCTATGGGGGCCGGGCCGAGCCCATCTGGAGCTCGGACCGGGCCCATGTGGAGGCCGGTCCGACCTCCTGGAGAGGCCAGTACGACCTCCAGCCGTGGCCCGTGCAAGGGCCACGTAGCGAGGCCTCGGCCGGGGCGGGTACGTGGCGCCGCCCCGGGACCCGTTCTTGCTCCGCGCCCTCGGGCCGGTTCAGGTCGATTCCCAATATATCCATCATCAGTCCCCCACTCTCTGAGCTGCGAGTAATTGTCAGTGAAGGAGAGTAGACGCTCCGGCCAACCCGCCAAAAATGTGACCCCGAGCTCCGGCGAGTCCACGGCGACCACTCACTCCGGCGAATTGTCCCGCCCCCTCCTGCTGACCCCATTGCCGAGCCGTAGGCCCGAGCACGGTACGCCCCTCCTTCTCCTTGGTCTATTTTATATTTCCACCCTGTTCCACTGTTATAGTGCCAGCACGGTGACGCCATCGTGATGTCGGCGCGACGACGAGAGACAGGCTGCGGCCTCGCGGCCCACGGCCGACCACCCGCGCCGGGGTCATGTCGACCCCGGCCTCAACCGACCTCCCGTGCCGACCTGTCACGCCGAGGTCGTGGCGACCTCGACCTCGGCCCAAGGCTGAGGTCCTCCCGCTTGTTTCCACGTTTTTTTTCCGAGCCTAAACACTCAGGCTCCCCCCTCGGGGTGATACGCGAGGTCCGACATCGTGTCCCCTTAGGGTGTGATAGCCGCTCCGTCCTGACTCGCTCGAGCCTAGGCACTCGGGCTCCTCCGTCGGGGTTGGTACACGAGGTCCGACATCGTGTCCCCTTAGGGTGTGATAGCCGCTCCGTCCTGGCTCGCTCGAGCCTAGGCACTCGGGCTCCTCCGTTGGGGTTGGTACGCGAGGTCCGACATCGTGTCCACTTAGGGTGTGATAGCCGCTCCGTCCTGGCTCGCTCGAGCCTAGGCACCCGGGCTCCTCCGTCGGGGTTGGTACGCGTGGTCTGGCCTCGTGCCCCCCTAGGGTGTGATAGCCGCTCTGTCCCGGCTCGAGCGAGCCTAGGCACTCGGGCTCTTCCGTCGGGGTTGGTACGCGAGATTCGGCCTCGTGCCCCCTTAGGGTACGTCAGCGCTCGAGCTAAGTCTTTCCGGACTACGCCACCGGGATCTTCCGTCGGGGTTGGTATGCGAGGTCGGACCTCGTGCCCCCCTAGGGTGCGCCTAACTGCTTGGGCCCAGTCCTGTCGGACCAAGCCACCGGGCTCCTCCGTCGGGGTTGGTACGCGAGGTTAGACCTCGTGCCCCCTTAGGGTACGCGTTAGCCGCTCGGGCCAAGTCCTTTCGAACTGTGCCACCAGGCTCTTCCGTCGGGGTTAGTACGGGAGGTCGGCCCTCGTGCCCCCTTAGGGTGCGTCCTCGGTCGGGGTTGGTACGCGATGTCGGACCTCGTGCCCCCTTAGGGTCCGCGGGGGGAAGACATGAGTGAGCACTCGTTCCCCCTTGTTTCATGATTTTTTTTAAGGGAGGAAACACGAATGAGAACCAACTTCGTAACAAGGGTCCTCCTCACAACGTATTTCCTAACATGAAACTTTATTCCGCTTATTGCCGTTCACTAAGACATTATTGGAGGAGGGGAATGGTCCTCCTCCTAGAATAGCAATGCCAAGATCCACCTCTTACGTGGCCGTCCTGGTGTGGACCTGGAGGTCATTCTGACCAATTTGGCGACACGCCTTTAAGTAGCAACTACGGCTCACCTTCTGGTCCTCTCGGGCGACCCCGACCCCGGTCGGTTCGAGAATTTGAGGCACATGTGTTCCATGGAAATCACGCACCTGAGGTCCTCTAGGGCGGGTCGGCCGAGAATGATGTTGTGGGCGCAGTTGATTTTGACGACTACGAACTTGAACTCTCACCTCCTGGTGTGAGGTGGGATGCCTATCTCCACCTCCAAAGTGATCGACCCCTTCGTCTCAATTGAGTCTCCCGTGAACCCAGACAGGGGGGTCCGTACTTGTTCTAGGTGCTCTCTTGAAAGTCCCAGCTGGGTGAATGTGTCGTAGTACATGACGTTCACCGAGCTACCCGTGTCTACGAGCACCCGGTGCACCACCATGTTGTTGATGTCTAGCTTGACTACCAGGGCGTCTCGGTGGGGGAGGGGGCTGTCTGGCAGGTCGGCGTCGGTGAACGTGATGGGCTCCCTTTTCGGTTTCTTCTCGTGGGGAGTTCGTGTGACCTCCCCCACGTACAAGCTTCTCGCCCACCTCTTTCGCTCGGCTGGCGAGTCCCTTTCCTCGGGCCCCCCGAAGATGACGTAGATGGTACGTTTCCTCGGGGGCTGGGAGTCCTCTGTCGTCTTCTCCTCCTCCTCAGAGTTGTGGTCGTGGTACCTCTTACGGGGTGCCGAGGTGGATGGCGCCTGGCCACCCCCCTTACTCCATACACTGCCTTGCTTCTGGCCTTGCGCCTGGCCGGGCTTCTTAATGAATTGGCCGAGGTAACCCATTTGGATGAGCTCCTCGATTTGTCTCTTTAGGAGGATGCATTCGTCTGTATCGTGTCCTTTCTGCCGGTAAAACCTGCAATACTTGTTGGGGTCCCCCCTCGCCGATATCTTCATGCACTCCTCCTTGGGGAATACCACGATTCCCTGGTCCTCTGCGTGCGCCAAGATGGTACCCACAAGTTGTGTCAGCGGGGTAAGATAGCGTGTGGGGTTCAGCCTGGGCCCCTCAGCGTACTCACATCGGTGTGGCCGTAGCGCCTTGCGCTCTTCCTGGGGCGCCTTGTCTCTCCGACCTCACCCCTCCTCATCCTCCTTCTTTCTCTTCTCGGTGACCTCGGCGTCGGCGAACCTTGCCGCCCGTTCCATCAGGTCGGTGTAGGTCCTGTGGGGGGGGGGGGGGGGGGGTACCGGATGAGGTCCTAGTGGAAGGCACCCGATCGCAAATTGTTCCTGAAAATCGGCATGGCTGACTTTCCGTCGAAGTTAGCAACCCCCATGGCCTCTTTCTTCAATTTGCTGAGGTACTCGGCTAATGACTCCGAGCTCTTCTGTTTCAGGTCCCATAGGTCAGCGATTTGCTTCTTCCTCTGTATGCAGGTGGAAAAGTGGGACAAGAATTGCCTGGTGAGGTCCGCAAAGGTGGAGATGGACCCCTCCGGAAGGGACCAAAACCAGTCATGCGCCTGCCCGTCCAGGGTGGCGAAGAACCCCTGGCACAGGATGGCGTCGGTAGCCCTAGTGATCATCATGGCGGCCCTATACCTGGTGAGGTGCGTCCGTGAGTCCGTAGTCCCCGCGTATGGTTTAATGGTGGGGAAACGGAAATTGTTGGGTAAGGGCTCCTCCATAATGGCGTTCACGAACAGGGTGGACAACACGTCTTGGGCCTCTGGGGAGCCTTCTTTCTCGTCAACCTTCTTCTGGAGCTCATCCATCCTCCTCCGGAGCTTTTCAACCTCTTCCCGATGGGAGCTCGGAGCTCGACCATTCGTCTCCCCTGATCGCTCGACCCGGGAGGCCTGCTCACGTCGCGGGAGGGGTCGGGGGACCATGCCTGCGGACCCTCGCGAGGCTGCCTTGTGCCGCGGCTGGGCGCGGGGCCCGTGGCTCGGCGACCTCCGAGTGACCGATTCTTGTCGCAGTGGCCGGCGGGAGCATGATTCCGCCGCGGGTGGCCCGTTGGCTGGCCTCGGACCCAGCCTGTCCCGGGCCGACACACGATCACCCAACCTCTCTAGGGCGGGCCTAGTTTGGGTTGGTGCCCTTCTATCGCAGCCGTGCTGGCGGTCTCGGCGGGAGTCTCCTCCTCCCCGCCTCTCTGTTGGCCGAGGCGAGTTGACCTCCCCTGTGTGGCGTGTGCCGGGGGCGGGAGTGCGCTCGGCCCGCCGCGCCCCCTGGAGAGAGGTGGAGGTGGCGCCGGCGCCCCTCGGGTGGCGCCTAGGTCGGCTTGTTCCTCTGCTCGAAGGCCCGCCGCATCACGCGCCAGCGCCGTGGAGGCTTGTTCGAAGACCGCCACCCCCTCCTGGATGAGTGCGCGAGCCGAAGCGGGGGTGACAGGGGGTGGTGGTGCACCACTGCTACGGTGGTTGGTGAGCTGGGCCCTCAGATCTCCCCCCTACCTGGCGGGGGCGGCTGGTTGGATGCTGGGGGCGAAAGTCCCGTCGGGACTGTTCCCGTTTGCGACGAGCTGGGTGACGCGAGAACCGCTGGTGTGGCGAGAGTTGGATCTCGACCTTGCCATGGTAGCTGATCGCGGTGGATCGAAGGATAAAGAACACGCTTGAGCTGGTACAGCAGCTCTCATCAAGAGCACCAATAATGGATTTAATTAACCCGGGGTGGCCCGAATTATTATACCCGGATAAGAACGTACTATAGAAATATATAAATGGGACGAAACGATGTTGTAAGGTCGCAAGGACCGTAGGTCGTGAGGACCATATATTATACCAAATGCCGTGAATAGGCTATCACAATGATTCGCTATTACAAAGTATGTAAGTAGGATAGATCATAGATAGCGTGTCCCTTGTTAGGACAAGGAGGGGGGCTTTTATACAAGCCAAGCCAAGCCCCCAACCGCCTCCCCCTAAAACAGGGGGTTAGTTGGATCTGGAGTTGACCGCGCCCGGTCTCGCGACCGGGCCGCGCTGTGGGGGCCGGGCCGAGCCCATATGGAGCTCGGACCGGGCCCATGTGGATGCCGGTCCGACCTCCTGGAGAGGCCAGTCCGACCTCCAGCCGTGGCCCGTGCAGGGGCCACATGGCGAGGCCTCGGCCGGGGCGGGTACGTGGCGCCGCCCCGGGACCCGTTCTTGCTCCGCGCCCTCGGGTCGGTTTGGGTCGATTCTCAATATATCCATCAGCTACTAATTTATTTAATTTAATAAGAGTAAAATAGAGTGAGGAACTTAATTATGCCAACTTTGATTGGGATATGGTTCGAACCTAAGATCTTATTAAAATGGAAGTAAGTTAATAATTAAGGATAAATTTGAAAATCTCAAGGAAAAAATTAAAATCTAAATAATTTGAACCATTCATTTTATTTAATAATTGGACGAACATTTTTTTCTACCCATTATAGACCTACTTTTATTGGTCTTATTAGTATAATAACTAGTTTTTTTTACGCGCATTGTGCGAATGAGATAATGCTCAATGATTATTTTTAAATAAGTACTATACTTCAAAGTATATCAATGCAATATTATATAGGAGATGTTCATGCATAGCAACATAGGTAATTGAATGTTGAATTTGTTTATTTAAATCGGTAATTCAAAGTATATAAATGCAAGATAATATATTAGAGATTGATTATAATTGTCACTAAAATAAATGTCTACAACTTTGTAATAACGTTAGTCTAAATACTCAGTCTAAAAGCGATAGTCTAAATCAATACTACTTTTGGTTTAAATTTGTCTAAGTCGTCTTAATTCTCTTTCGGGTGTATTGTCATTGTGTTCATCTTCAGTACATGTCCTCTATATTTTTTTTTATTGATAGTGTGTCATTTGTAATTGGGTTACTGGTGGTAGAGGGCATCATTATGCAATGAGATTATGGTGTAGGAAGTTTTAGATTTTTTTTTGGGTACATTAGAAAGTTTTAGATTTGCCTTGCTGTGTATATGACTGAGATCTTAGTTGTACTATGAACTCTTTATCTTACAAACGTCTGTTGATATTTGGTAGTTGGTAGTTTTTCCCCTACATGTTCCATGTATTGTGAGATATGTGTTGTAGATTAACATATAAAAGTATTGAACAAAATATTAATATTTATTATATTTGTATAAAATACTTGGTAAATAAATATATAACATATTTAGTATTATAACTTTAATATTTAATTACAAGATAATTTAAAAAGAAGACAATGGACACTGTAGTAAATATAATTAATTAATGAATTTGAAGGTAAGGAATCTTTGAATTGTAGAAAATAAAGATAATTTTTTTTATCTCTTTAAATAACTAATGAAATTATATGCCTTTTTAAATTTTTTATAATGAATATTTTTTTTTAAATAAAGACATTATACACATCTAATTCTAAATTAATTAAATGCATATTTACTTTTTTTTCTTTCTTTTTTTTGTTGTAGCTACTATTTTTTTTTTAAATTTTAATAAGAGTAATAAAGTGGCATATGATACCAACTGCCACGGACTCGTTTCCCCTTACGACGTCACGTGCAGCCCTAGCTATTTTTCCCTCCAAATAGCTAAGTCAGTCTCTCGTTCGACCCTCGGAAGTATGCTAAGTAAACAGTGAGATGGATAGAAAATAAGTAAGGCAAGAATATCGCAAAGTACTTGAAAGCTTCTAAGGGAACTTAGATTACTGAGCACTTGAACTTTTCTTGGATGGGTTACAAATGAGGCCCCTTAAGGGGTATTTATACACATTCAACCTCCTCAATGGACGGTGGAGATCGATTTGATCCTACGGCTAAGATTTCTTCTCTAGAATTCTCCATACTTTTCTATACAACCAAGAGGATTCCACAATGTTCTAGAATTTTCTAGAGCTTGTACATATCATCCCTTAGCTTGCAGAATAGTTTGGACGCATGTACATAACGCTAGAAGATGTAGGGAGCTCACATACTTTTCATCCACAACAATGAAGTCATTATTTTTTTTTTATTTCGATTCGTTGTTGAGACATTGTTTTAAGAGTTTGTCTATGACAATTACTACAATTACAGTTAATAGAAGATGATAATAAATAATAATTTTATATTGTATTTTTTAATACATTTTAACATATTCATAGTATATGTTTAATAATTATGTCAACTCTGATTGGGAAAAGGTTCGAACCCAAGACTTTTCTTATAGAAATTAAAAAGTTAAGAATAATAAATAGTTGACGGAATATTCCGTTATTAAGTTTATATATATATACTAACGAAATGTAGGGTTATTTAAGGAAAGAAAATAATATAATAGAAGGTAAATAAGAAAGAAAAAAAATACTAAAATCAAAATAATATGAACCATTGTTGGTTTCTTATTAGATTTGTAGATAATAAGTAGATTTTTTACCTTAAAAAAAAAGAAGTAGATTTTTTAATTTTACGCTATGATTAACATCCCTATTTGTGCAAGAATTTTTTAATATTATTTTCGGAAAATAATGATGGAAGCACATGATCAACCCACAAGTTAGTCACCAACTCACCACCGTGTTCCCAACTTCCCATAGCTTTAATTTGCTTCACACATGGGATCATCTTTTTTCCCCACGACACAAATGTTGTGATTTTTTCTCAATTTATTCCAACAAATAAAAATTCTCGAAAATTCAATTCGCGTATAAAATATACCAAGTGAATTATTTTAGGATTTAATTTGTGCGAGAAAGACCCTATACTGTAGTACAATTCAATTCCTTTAATTTGACTCAAATTAAAAATGGACCATACTAAAAATTACACCAACAACTTTAAATGCCAATTTTAATAATTTTTCCAACATACGAAATACCAATTTTAATAGAATTAACTGCAGCAAGCCTCAGTGGCACCCAGATTGGACTCTCATATGAGAGGTTGTGGTCTAATGGTATCCGGGTTGGACTTCTATTTGGAAGATTATGAG